TTGGGATTGCCTTCGCTGCCACTGTTTGGGTTACCGAGCAGGGCAATAACGCGGAGCTGCACTTTGCCCGGTGCCTGCGAGCCCCCGGCTCTGAGCTGAGAGCCCCCGGCCGCTGCTGCTTCGCGCCTCCGAGAGCGGCAGGCGGTGGGGAGTGATCACGTTTTGATGATTTCCAGCTAGAGAAATGAGGAACAGTTTGTCATTGAAGTAGTCGTTAATGATTTGTCAGCAAATTTTGTCCGTGAGGTTTAAAACGGAGATAATTCAATCAAAATTTCTATGATTCTGTGAATTTTCACGTACCTGGGAGAGGGGCTGTGTTGCCCAGCCTGCCGGGGGGGCGATGCCTTTATTGCCCCCTTCCACGCAGGAGCCATAACTGGCAAACACGGCCAAGAAATCGCAATTTAACCGTAAACCTTGTAGCCTCAAGTTTGGAACCTGGAGCAGATGGAGCCCAGCCCACGTAGGTGCCCGTTGTTGGGGGTTTGATGGTTTGGAAATGCCGAAGAATAAACGGAATTTCCTAGAGAACCTCGCTAGGACTGAATCCACTTCTCCAGTTGGGTTTGGTTTTATCTTTGCCTTTTAGGATAAAAACTGAGCAAACAGAGATACGGCCGAGGGAAGCTGGGGTTAAAGTACTTGCTTTGAAAATTGAGACCTTTCAGAATTTTGAAAAAGAAAAAAGAGAAGGCAGTGATTTCTGCCCCCCAGCCCAAGCCCCCAGCAGTGTTAATGTTTTCCAGAGTTACCCGGAGGGTTTGGGAGGGCTCAGGCTGCTGGGGATGGCCCACGCTTGGCCCCGGGGGCTGGCAGCTCCAGCCCCCTTCCCCTGCTGGGGTTACGGGCTCCAGCACCCCCCTTCCGCCACCTTCCGGCTTTGCGGGGTGTGGGAGCGGACGGTGCCTCTCTGGGGGGCGGCGGGGGGGTTCTGCTCCTTTCAGCGATGGCACCGCTTTTGTAGAACTGTTTCGATGGGGAGAAGTGGGAGCCTATGGCAAATGCATAGGGAAGCCTCCAGGGGATGCTGGTGTCTCCCCCTTCCCAAAAATTAAGGGAGGGAGTAGGAAAAAACTGAAAAATTGAGGAGCCTGAAACCTGCAGGTTGCAGGTTTCTTTTGGGGAAAAAAAAAAAAAAGCGCCTTTAAAAGAGGTGGCAGAGGCTTTTTTTTTTTACCAGAAAGGAGCTTTTCCAAAGTTTTAGGTGAGAACTC